CTGCCTGGAGTATGGAGCCACCAAGACCCATTCCTTCAAAGAGTTGATGGAAGCAAAGCGCAGCCACCAAGGGCCTTATGGTGCAAGGATTCATAGAGGCTCCCAATGACAGCCCAATCACCACCGAATGGACCACGATCCCCAATTCTAATACCTGACATACATACCATGGCATTTTATGAGATCAGCATAAACCCGTGTGCAATTCAGTTATAGAAAAAATATTAAAGAAATGATCAAAATATGCATTTTGAAGTTTGAGTTTGGTCAATGGAATAAATGCAGCAATCCAATTTCACATCCAATGGTTAAGATTAATACATGCAGCCATCCAATTTCACATCCAATGGTTAAGATTAATGGTTACGATCTTGTATCGAAGGTAAATGGTCTCATTGTATACAATCCTTTTTAAATATTCTAACTCACGGATATGTACTCATGGTCATGTGTCTTTTGTCTTTAAATTTCAATCATGATTGCAAGCATGTTATTCCCTTAACTTGTAGTTCCAAAAAAAAATGTTTTGAAAAATGTTGTCTTAAATCATTTACTTTTTGGCTTGCAGATAAATATAAAAAAAAACAATATTGGGATTTAAGATGGGATACAAAAATTTTTAGCTGTGAGATGTTTAGACAGTTGAATTTGAAGGCATCTATAATTCTCCCTAATTTTAACCTCTTTGTATGAAAGATAACTAGCCTCGTAGTATACAATCCCATTCCTAAATTAACTAAAATAATATGAATAAATATTTTTCAAAAATTAAATACATCTCTCATAGGTGCCTTGATCAATTTCCTCAAATATTGATAATTACTAATAAACTAGTCATGGCTAAGCAAATAAAAGATTTTACTATGGCAAAATACCTCATCAGTCCTTGGGCAGACCACTATGTAGTGGTCCGCCTACGCCATTTAAGAGGCCGCTGGGGTATTTATTTTACCCCAAAGTTGGAATAAACAGCCTCCTTTGTCCTAAGCAAATAAAAGATCTTACTCAGTCCTTAGGCAGACCACTATGTAGTGGTCCGCCCACGCCATTTAAGTGGGCCCTGGGTTATTTATTTTGCCCCTATGTGGGAATAAACACCCTCCTTGACCTGCTGAAGAAGTCAATGAAATATCACCCTCCTTGTCCTCAAATGACAGGTACTCATGGTCATGGGTTTTTTGTCTTTAAATTTCAATCATGATTGCAAGCATGTTATTTGCTTAACTCGTAGTTTCAAAAAAAATGTTTTGGGAAATTTTTTCTTAAATCATTTCCTTTTTGTCCTGAGAATAAATATAAAAAAAAATAGTATTGAAATTTAGGATGGAATACAAAAAATTTTGGCGGTGTGATGTTTAAAAAGTTGAATTTGAGGGCATCTATAATTTTCCATAATTCTAACCTATTTATATGAAAGATAACTAGCCTTGTAGTATACAATCCCATTCCTAAATTAACTAAAATAATATGAATAAATATTTTTCAGAAATTACATATATCTCTCATGCGTGCTTTGATAAATTTCCTGAAATATTGATAATTACTAACGAGCTAGTCATGGCTAAGCAAATAAAAGATTTTACTATGGGAAAATATCTCATCTGTCCTTGGGCAGACCACTATGTAGTGGTCCGCCTACGCCATTTAAGGGGCCTCTGGGGTATTTATTTTGCCCCAAAGTTGGAATAGACACCCTCCTTTGCCCTAAGCAAATGAAAGATCTTACTATGAGAGAATATCTCGTCAGTCCTTGGGCAGACCACTAGGTAGTGGTCCGCCTGCGCCATCTAAGGGGGCCCTGGGTTATTTATTTTGCCCCAAGTTGAAATAAACACCCTCCTTGGCCTGATGAAGAAGTCAATGAAATATTTCAAAGAAAAAAAAAAAGAAGAAAAAAAAAAAAAACTTCAAAATTTGACTGGGTAGATATAAGCTGTTTATTTTGACTGACTAGATCTAGTCCTTTACAAAATCATTTTTTTTATAATGGTGATGAGGCAATATACTATATCTTAGGTACTTGATTCAACATTATTTTCTTTTTCAAAGCATACCTCATGTTCTCCCCATTTTCTATCGATTCTTATCCAAATTTCATGATCTTTTTCTCCAATACCAAGAGATTGAGTTGTCCAGATTTTAGTGGATGCTGTTGTGGCCCTCACCCCCCCCCCCCCCACACTATTTTTCCTTTACTACAATATTATAAGGACCGATATATTTCAAGAAATCCCACTCTCCTATTTATATATGGGATTTTATATAATGAGACCAGTTACCTCTATTACAAGGAGGTCACAATTACATATAACCATTCGGAATGAAATTTGATAGCTTGAGTGTCTCAAAAAGTTTGAAAAAATTTCTTTTGAATTTTAATCTTGGTCAATAGAATAAATACATACCATCCAATTTCATATCCAATAGTCAAAAATAATTGTGACTACCTTACACCAAATGTAAATAGTCTCATTCTATACTTTTCCTTTATATACCTACCAAACTTAAACATAACAAAGAAATGTGCAATATCTGTCCATAACTTCATACATACATACACAATGACAATTAAGTGATTATTTGGGAAAAAAAAAATTTCCCTTTTTTTTTGTAAATCAATGAGGATTACAGGCCTCTGCCTTAAAGTGATTATTTGGAGAAAAAAAGAAAAATTCTTTTTTGCCTTTATTTTTTAATGAATCAATCCAGATGACTGGCCTCTATGTATACAAAGCAGTCACTCATCTTAGTACTACTCTAGTGGAGACACGCCTAACATTGAAATTCAGATGGGACCCGGTAGTAATGAAAATAATGGTGTCAAATATTGGTGTGAGTGCTTAAATTGGGATAAATAATAGTGTCCTAACGACTCTCCACATGCACTCTTGCATGTAAGCGTCCAATGTGCCATGCGGATCATTGTCAAAAGCTTTCATCCCTGGCGTGTCGTGTGTTACCAGGTTTCTCATCTTTTCCCCTCCATCTTCATTGTTTAATTGGTTAGCGCTCCACGTAGAGGCCCTCTCCCCCATTTAATCGAAAAAAATTTTATTACATGGAGTACTTCAATGTGTGACTCGGGCTTGGACTCGGTAGTCAGATTCGGTGTTCAAAATTAGTGATACGAATTTTATATTACGAGGATAATCTAATCTTTTAACAACTTCTCGAATTCGAGATGAGATTATGAGTTGGTTCGGTAATAACTTATAAATAACCATGTTCACGTAGGAAACAATTAAGAGGTAGGCGTCAAACATGAAATATTGAAAGGAAAACCAACCTGAGCAATGACTCGATACCGAAGCAAGGCAGTTGCAGGGTCATCCTTGAGCTCAAAGCCATGACCATGACTATGGCCTATAGGGCTCATCTCAGTGTCGGTGCCAAGTGGATTAACGATCCCTTTCTTTTTGTCATTCATCCGGCGATAGAAACTGGTAGCGAAAGACTCCACCATGAGTGTAAACACAGCCGAGAGCATGGCGATGAACGTGGTGAACGGAAACTTTTGCCAAGGATTTTCCGGCAGACAGCTGGAGGTCAGATTATTAAAGGAATCAGGGAGAACATGCATGTATCCTGTAGCAAGTATGACCCCCGCCGCAAAGGCCTTGACAACATAAAAGGCATCCCGATCAGGATTCAGAGCAGGCAACGATCGTGTTATCAATGGCAAACAAACACCGATCATGCTGCTTATCAAAATCGCAGCTATCGCCACTAGTTTCAAACGCAGAGCCGACGTTTTGTTGTAACAATCACCGGTCTCACGTTCGCATTCTCCTGAACCTAGGGTTTGGACCAAGAACGAAGAGAAAGCTAAGAAGAATACTAAAACACAGAGCTTTGGTTCAGAGAGCCTGAGACCCATTTCCTCAATTAAGAATATCTCTTTACAAGTACTCTCAAGAGGTACTTGCTTTGTACGCTTTGGTCATACGCCCTCTATTAATATATAGGCTCACTCTCCAGCTGCCCTTTATTTAAATCAACGGCCAAGATAGAGGGTCATCTCTCGTTATGTGAGATGGGTCCACATCTACAAGATCTAGACCGCCCATTTGGTTTAGGGTTCGAGACGTGATCGAATTGTACTTTTGGGTGTCAGCATGCTCCTCGCCGTTGACGTTTGCATATGGGGAATGAAAATTGACGGCTGCGATGTATTGAATATTTTATGGAGAATTGTGGGCCGTTGCATCAAATATGCGCTTCTTCTAAGTGCTTGACTTCGCAATAGGGCGGCGTGTGTCCTAAACGAGGCCAGCATGAGATGAAACACGACAAACACATTCCCTACACAAACAAAATGGGTAGATCAATGGTCCTTAGAGTGCCACGTGTAGCTGGTTCTTGGAATTGGATCTGAAGTCCAGTTAAGCCCCCCCTCTTTCCAAGATTTTTTTTGTTTTTAGGTTCCTTGTCGTTTGTTTTGTTCGTTTATCTTTAGCCATTAGATGTAAAATTCGAAGATTGTGCTATTAACTATTAGATTCAAGACGAGAAGTTTTTATTGAACTAAAACAACACACTTCTAGCTATTGGATTTCAACTTTTTTGAGGAGCTTAGTTTCATAAAATATTTATTTATTAAATATGGATACAAAATCAAATTTTGGTTTGGATCAATTTAGGGAAGAAGTCATCAATTTAGATGAGAAATTTATCCAAACTTGGTGGTTCTCAATTTAGATAAGGAATTTATTTTTCTTACATATTGTTGTAGATCTCTATTACAAAGTGCCCTAATAGGGTTGGAATTTACCCGGACCCGACCTGAAACATGACTACCCGACCTGGTGCGGGTCCAGGTATGGGTCCAAGAGTTGGACCCAGCAGGTTGGGTCTGCAGGTTGGGTCTGGATCTAGATGGACCCACCCCAAACCCGACATATTATATGATATTTTTTTTATATAAAAATTATAAAGGTTATTGTAGTAATATATACATACTCTTAATCTTACCATGTAGAATGAATTTTGCCTAAAATGAAATGTTTATTATATTTTTATTTTTTAAGAGTTCTTTTCATTAATTAAGGAGCTTCTTTCTTTAATTTTGCCAAAATTACTCTCCAATTCTAGATATTGGGATGTTAAAGCATCCACAACACGTGGACGTCTGAAGGGTGCATAAGAATTTGGCAAATATTTCGCACATATTTACAATTTGTACTTATTCACTTAATGTTTTCATTAAAAGATGATAATTTATTCTCCATTCATGAAAACTTAAAGGACAAAGTTTATACAAGGTTGGAACCTTAAAATGTAGAATTAGAGTTGCGCCTCAAAAATCCATTGAAAAAGGTTTTTGTAGTGTTGAAAAACTCTCTAATTGATCATCTCGACATCGAGATTAATGAATATTAAAGAAAAAAATTAAGTTCCAAAAGTAGTGCATCTTGCAACACATTATCTAGACCGTCCATTTTCAAGATTTTCATATGTTCATAGATCTACTTGATTTTAACCATTTTTAGAGTTTAAAATTTTATACTTAGATACGAAAATCGATTTTCAAATAATCCAACAATTTACACCAAAATTATATGTTATTATAAAATTTGGAGGTGCTCCTTAATTGGATTGTTTAAGGTTACAACCTTATATAAACCAAACCCAAACTTAAATGTGTTGTTTGACCGATCACTTTGTTCCAACTTGTATCTTCCATCTGTATTACTTTTCAATTTCTTTGGTTGTGCTATCTATTTGGGCTCGAACTTTGAATTGAAAAAATATGTCCGAACTTTGATTCTCTTAAATGTCATGTCTTTGAAATTTTTTAAGGGTGCCATTTGTATAGAGCCTAGGCCCTAAACAAATAAATTAGAGCCTACCTTCATAATGTCAAGAAATATGGTTTTAATGCTGAAAATCTTTGTGATAGCCTTAAAATATATTTTTATCGTTATTTATAAAGCTTAAAGCTTCAAAAATAGTATAGATCGATATATCTATGAAAATCTTGAAAATTGACGGTTCAAAAAATGTGTTACGAAATACATTATTTCCAAAAACTTGAAATCCATTTTTTTATCCCTTATCCACGCATCTTGATGTCGAGATGGTCAATTTGAAGATATTTGAGCATCAAAACAACCGTTCCTACTGAAATTTTTGAGGCAGGTTCTAATTTGACTGTTTAGAGCCTCCGCTCTATATAAACTTTTCCCTTTTTTTAAAGAACTTAAAGATACAAGAAAAATCATAAACTACAAAGATTTATAAGATCTTGCCTTTGGAGGTTCTGCAAAAGTCCTCATCTAGTAGCAATTAAATAATAATTTAGAACGTGGCAAAACTAAAACTACTAGGTTTATTTACCAACTTGTGATGTGCTATCATTCCAACCCAATGCCCCTGATTTTTATTAAAAATACATAAATATCCTTAGCAACTCATCGTTGGGAGCGTGATGTATCATGTTGTTGACCTTTGGGAAAAAAAAATCATATGCCTAAAGATTTTCTACTCATGTGGGAGTATAGTATCCATGTGCTCCCTCTAGTTAAACTTACCCAAGAGTATCTTTTAAATCCCAAATTTGAGGATGTGATCTCTAGAAAACCACAACCAACCTCAAAGAAAAAAAAAGCTAACTCTCACTCTTTCTGCGCCTAAAAAGAATGGCATCATAAGATTCCAACAGAACTTTTAAATTTTTGGAGGGAATTATCTAGATGTTCGAAAACTCAAAATCTAAATATTTTAAATATTTGAAAATAACCATCTAGTTATAATTAGATGGATCCAAAATTTCAAAAAAAAAATTCCAACTAAGTGTTTTGCTCGAGTGAGTAAATGCATAGTATGCGCCATCGGAAGCATAGTATATTTATCATTCCACACAATAATACATCTGATATCAACCATTGTAGACAACGAGTGATGGAGATGATCCGTCAAAATCATCGCATACCCTCTCAAATTATGCGAATATTATTGTGGCTTTATTGTTTTAATTAATCTTAATAATTTGCGTGCGGATTGTATGGAACCGAGGCTCTAAACAATCAAAATAAAGCACACCTTCAAATAGTATTGAGAAATGTGGTTTCAATACTGGAAATCTTTGGTATAGCCTTCAAATATATTTTCATCTTTATTATGAAATTTAAAGATTCAAAGATAGTGTAGATCGAGCAGATCCATGAAAACTTGAAAATCTTGAAAATTGATGGGCCAAAAATGCATTACAAGATGCACCTATTTCCAAAACTTTAAATCCATTTTTTTCTCATGTCCATGCATCTTGATTTCGAAATGATCAATTTTAGGATATTTGGGCATCAAAACAACCTCTTCAAGTAAAAATTTTGAAGTGGGCTCTAATTTGATTGTTTATAGCCTTGTACTTATATTAGCCTTTTCTTTGTTAATATGTTAGAATAAAAGGGAATGATTTCATGCAACGGTTGTATAGTAATATAATGCAACCATCTTCAAAAACTATGTTAGAGACATTTGTTTGACACAAATATTTAAATATACACTCTTTTCATTCTGAAAAACAATAAAAAAAAAGAAAATTTTGAAAAAATGCTCTAGAAAGTTTTCATTCTAGCCTAATTAATATAAGCTATCCATTTTATTGAGATGGTTAGATATAGGCCTCATAATCATTTTTTTATTCCCAAAATTTTTATATAGCATTATCACTATTAAATTAATAATGCTAAAAAAGAAAAAAGAGATTTTGAATTTGTTAAGGCTTAGATCTTGAAATTCACCAAATGAATGATCGAGGTTCATTGTTGGATGGTTACTAATTTTGACCATATCTAGAGTACAAATTGAAATTTTTTTTTTTATAGAATTGATTACGAGGATGAAGAGAATATGTGTGCAAAATTTGGGATCATAAAAATGCCAAAAATATGGTTTTCTAGATGTATAGTTGCATTATACTAATATACAACTGTTGTATTGGATCATTTATACAATAAAATCCTTTATTTTTATCATAATGAGGTCATAATTACTCCTACTCATTAAATATCAAATTGGATGGCTCGGGCTAGTAACGAAATCCGACAATTTTTTTAAAACAATTTAAGTCTTTTTAGTGACAATCTTACAAATATAACTCACGCAAGCTATCAGATTTGACTCCATATAGTAATAAGTAATTGCGCCCTCGTATATCAAAGATAAATAGTCTCATTGTATACCATTCATTTTCTTAATTATTTATTTTCTTAAGGTTGGTGTGTGTCGCAATCGAATTCCAACTTGTACTTGAGATGACGAGCACCCGGTAACGTCGCACTTAGAAGTCAAAGTTACATGGTCAATCGAATCTCCAACTTGTACTAAAGTAAAAACTACATCTTCGAGTGCTTATGAGAATCTAAATTTGTGACACGTAACTTCTTCAAATTTTAAAAAATAAAGGAGAGAACTTATAGAATGTCTCAACTTTATACTCTATGAGTAAGGTACACCTAAAAACTCCTTTAGCATGGGTTGTTACTATGCCGAAATTCTCAAAACAATCATCTCGACTTCGAAATTTATTGACATAATAAAAAAAAGGTAGTTTTAATACTAAAAAAAATTCATATTCTAATGTATTATCTGGCTTGTCCAATTTTAAGATTTTCAAGTGTTATAAATCTATCTGATTGTCATCATTTATGGAACTTTAAATCTTATAATTAGGGACAACAATATATTTTCTGCATAATTTTGAGTCACACCCTAATTCAATAGTATAAGGTTGAAACCTAATACAAACCTCACCCAAAAAAAATTATATGCATTTCATGTGTCTCAAAAAAAAAAAAAGGGAAATCTCTCTCTCGCTAAATAAATTAAATATATTCTATATGTGCCTAAAACATGCTCCTCTCCCTCTCTCTCTCTTCGGAAAAATACTCATCTTACGATTTTAAAGTGGATAGCAACATTTTATATCCAATA